AATCGCTCGTCGCCGCTCACTACCAACGCTTAGGGGAATATATTTCAGATTACAACGGGTTGTGTAACCTGCAACGATCGGGCTTCGTGTACGTCTTCTAACTCTGCGTGGCTGTAGCGCACAGTTCATGACTCCTCATCGGGTCATACTGGAACTTCCTCGTTGTCCAATCCAACTGAAACCGCTGTCAAGGCAAATCTCAAAATAATTACTCAGCTGGATAAACCTTATTGGCTGGGCGGCTGGGCATCTACACAGCACGGTGCTGTCAGCACCACAATTGGCTTGATTCTCATAGGGAGCTACGCGAGTAACAAGCTCGCCCTCCGATTGCAGCCACCCTGATGCTTGCTCGGCGTCACACATGTCAAGCTTGATAAGAACACATTGAGCTGTCAAGGATACATCAGAGGTTCTAGGATATCCAACCTCTGTATTTGAACTCACTATCAACAAAATTGTCAGTATATCAGCAATCGGAATTCAGACCCTAGAGGATCAACATGAGCTCATGCTACTAGCATGATGCTAGAGCGTGAGCGAGTACACCCACCGCTGTCAGTCTGGCGCGGCTTGCCCGCCTTCGCTCGTCTGTCTCGAACGCTCAGGTAGCTCTGGTGCACTCCAGATAGGTTTCATATTTGGGTGTATCGTCGATGCTCTCGTGATGTTGGGGCGCAACGTATCCTTGAACGCAACTCGGGCAGATAAACACTTATACACTCGTTATCAAGACATCCTGCAGTGGCCAGGATTGTATTAAAATGCACTCCGGGACATTACAAAGCTTCATTAACCTAAGTCGGCTACACAATCGGACTGAGAGTAGTCTCGGAATCGATCGTCTCCACAGTGGTAGCAACAACCTCATCGGTCACAGCAGCTGTGCTGACCGGTAGAGGGGACGTAAGAGTAGTAGGCTCAACAGGAGCATCGATCGTAGTAGTGACAGTCGCAGTCTCAGTAGCGACCGGGGTGGTGGCATCAGAATCATCCTTGTCTCTACTGGGAGCTCCCCCAGCTGCGGTGGAAATGGTCACCTCGCCAGTCACAGAAGCTGCAGTGGTAGCAGCAACCTCATCGGTCACAGCAGCTGTGCTGACCGATAGAGGGGACGTTATAGTAGTAGGTTTAACAGGATGACCGATCGTAGTCGTGACAGTCGCAGCCTCCGTAGCGACCTGGGTGGTAGCATCAGAATCATCCTTGTCTCTGCTGGGAGCTTCCTCAGCTGCCGTCGTAATGGCCACCTCGCCAGTCACAGGAGCTGCACTAGTGACAGCAACCTCATCGGTCACAGCAGCTGTGCTGACCGGCAGAGGGGACGTTATAGTAGTAGGCTCAACAGAAACACCGATCGTAGTCGTGACAGTCGCAGCCTGCGTAGCGACCTGGGTGGCAGCATCAGAATCATCCTTGTCTCTACCGGGAGCTTCCCCAGCTGCCGTGCTGATGGTCACTTCGCCAGTCACAGGAGCTGCAGTAGTGACAGCAACCTCATCGGTCACAGCAACTGTGCTGACCGATAGAGGGGACGTGATAGTAGTAGGCTCAACAGGAGCATCGATCGTAGTCGTGACAGTCGCAGCCTCAGTAGCGACCTGGGTGGTAGCATCAGAATCATCCTTGTCTCTACCGGGAGCTTCCCCAGCTGCCGTGCTTATGGTCACTTCGCCAGTCACAGGAGCTGCACTAGTGACAGCAACCTCATCGGTCACAGCAGCTGTGCTGACCGGCAGAGGGGACGTTATAGTAGTAGGCTCAACAGAAACACCGATCGTAGTCGTGACAGTCGCAGCCTCCGTAGCGACCTGGGTGGTAGCAACAGAATCATCCTTGTCTCTACCGGGAGCGTCCCCAGCTGCCGTGCTGATGGTCACTTCGCCAGTCACAGGAGCTGCAGTAGTGACAGCAACCTCATCGGTCACGGCAGCTGTGCTGACCGATAGAGGGGACGTGATAGTAGTAGGCTCAACAGGAGCATCGATCGTAGTCGTGACAGTCGCAGCCTCCGTAGCGACCTGGGTGGTAGCAACAGAATCATCCTTGTCTCTGCTGGGAGCTTCCCCAGCTGCCGTGCTTATGGCCACTTCGCCAGTCGCAGGAGCTGCAGTAGTGACAGCAACCTCATCGGTCACGGCAGCTGTGCTGACCGATAGAGGGGACGTGATAGTAGTAGGCTCAACAGGAGCACCCATCGTGGTCGTGATAGTCGCAGCCTCCGTAGCGACCTGGGTGGTAGCATCAGAATCATCCTTGTCTCTACCGGGAGCTTCCCCAGCTGCCGTGCTTATGGTCACTTCGGCAGTCACAGGAGCTGCAGTAGTGACAGCAACCTCATCGGTCATAGCAGCTGTACTGGCCGCTACTGTGGGTTCGACAGTAGCTTCAGAACCAGTCGTACTCGTTGCTTCGGGAGCAGCTGTCGTACCTCCTTCGCTTGTAGCGGCCTCAGTAACCTCATCCGTCATTGCAGCAGAGGATGTGGAACCTCGGAGAGCTTCAGTCGGTTCACTCGTGCCGCAGAAGCACGGGGCATCCGAGCCGAAGCAAGTGCTTGGCGTCTTCCAATACTTACAATATGACCCAGGGTAAGTTGTCGCGCACTCAGTGTCGCAGTCAGTGGCGTTGCCCGTCACGAATTTG